GATGATGACTCAAACGATGAGGATAGCCACAAGCATCGCCATCGCCACCATCGCAAGCACTATGACGATTAAACATAACTCGCGTCTTGCCATGCGTCCACAATAATGTGGTTGTTCTTGCCATGTTATTAAAACTACCAAGTACTAAATAAAGTGTGTTCTACGTTTCCCTCGTCATGTGTCATAAGATCAGTTTCCTTGCAGCAGGTCAGTCATTTGGCTGTCCCTTGTTTGTGCTTAGAATTTTGTAATAAAGCCCCCGAATATTTGGGATGGTTTTTTTCGAAGTCACTATTTCTTGTGGCTGGATATGTAGTGTGTGAAACGAACTTCTTTGTGTTTTTCAATGTTATATGGTATGCTTGTTGCTTACATTGATGTTTCATTTCTCATACGTGACTTCAATTATTGCGAGGTTTGTCATATTCGGCGTATGACTGCGTGGTTTTGGTTGATGCTCTTCATATTATCTCTATGTCCCGATTTCAATGAACACATTTTTAATATGAACAAAAATCTGTTTGATAAAATTTTAAAAACTTTAGAGCCAAGATCTATTTTATAGATAAAAACATGTCACATTAGTCCCTAATAAACTATTCCAAAGGTTGAAGACAAAACATCACGGACTTGGAGTGACTGGGCATCCACACAAACTCTTTGGAAAAGTTTCAAATGAAAAAAACTTGCAGCAAAAACAGTTTGAACAAGAATAAATCTTGGGGTCGGCTTTTCACTGCTAGTAAGTCATTCAAACATAATCTCGACAATGGTATTCTTTATGCCCGGCACCAGTTTTCTGGCGTCCGTAACCTTAAAATTCTTGCGCACTTTTAATAAAAAATGCTGAGGATAGGTTTCAAAATCGTGACCTTTCTGTTGCAATTCTAATGCATAAAAAATGGGAGACGAATGGTCTTAATTCTGCAAGTAAAACCAACATGGGGCTTCAATTGAAGAACATAACCTGTAAGAAGAAAAATATTTGGTTTGAAAACATGTGATCTGGAGTTAAGTTCTAAAAGTAATTATTTAAAACCTATTCAAAATTGGTTTCAAAACTGGAATCAAGATACATATACACGTCTCTGTCAAAACACATATTCAAAAGCATATTCACACTATCAAGAGCTCAGATTTCAAAATTTCGAAGTTACAAAAATAAAAAAAAACATATTTTCTATTAGTCCTAATTCAGATGTATGTTCAAATTTTCTAATTTGCACCCCATGTGCGCAATCTTGATACAGAAGGGCTCTTAAATCACCCCTTCTTCGCATTCGGGTTATTCCGAGAAAATCCAACATCAGAAAGAAATCTTGATAAAAATCCTTCAGATTTGTTTTTACCACTGGAACTGCTCAAATTGCAGATTAGAGCCCAGTGGGTGTTGAAGTCAGGCTCATACCCATCTTGCTGCATTCTGTGTAAAACCTGGGATGCCTTGATCGAATTGTTCTCAAAGCGATACCCATTAATCACAGCGGAATACATTTCCCTGGTTGGGGTCTCGCCCATCTGAACCATTGTGTCAAGCAATGTTTCTGCCTCTGCAACTCGCCGTCCCCTGCACAAGCATTGGACAAGTGCACTCCAAGTGTTTTTGTTTGCTGTATGGCTTCTGCATAGCATTTCAGCATGAAAGTCCAGAGCTTGATCCAAGAGGTCATGACAACAAAAACTCTGGATTATGTAATCATAACTGCTACTGTCTGGGGGGGAATTATTCCCTTTCTTCAACATTATGTTCAGAAGGTCCACTGCTTTGTCTACTTCTCCATGCTGACAAAACCTCTTTATAAGAACATCATAGTTTATGTTTCCTGGAATTAGGTCTTTTAGTTCT